CAGATAATTTGGATTCTTGCCTGCATGTCCACAGGTTTTATAGAATAATATTTGTTCATGAATGGACACAATAAGGTGTCAGTGGGATGAAAGAGCCACAGTGAGCATTCTGAGCCGTAAAATGTATTAATGATACAAAACTATCAACAAAGAGTCAGTTTACCTCCATTTTTGTTGTTGTTGTCGCTCCAGTGGTTTTTCATTTTCTTACAGGATCCCATATCTGTATTTATTTCACTGTAATGTAGCACTGTTTTCTTCATAAACGCTCTTCAAGTGCAGCAATAAATGTAAGCGTTTCTCTCGCAGCTTTTCAAGTGCAATAGCGTAGAGTGGCACTGTTTTCCTTCATAACGTTAAGCACACTTCCACACACCGCGGGCATGCTACATTATCCATCATCAGGCCATATCTGTGGCATGTGAAAGGTGTAGAGTCTGTTTTATGTCGTTATTTGTGCAGTTGTATTTCTCGTCTTGTTTCTTATTACACTTCTGGCTGATGTAAGTGTGAATTTTCTCACTGAGGGACAAAGTGTTATCATATATTTTTACATTTTCTTGCCAGAAGTTTCCCATCAAGCTCTATGTGAAAGGGAGAAGATAGGTGAATGTTGCCATGGTGCCCACATTTATTTCTTTATATTTTGGTGAATTTCCACTATTACATGTCATGCTGACTTAAAAGTAAAAGTTCCCATTTGCTTTAACTACTAATCTACACACAGCTGTCAACTAAAAATACATTTGTGTTTAATCAAGTGAATATAAATGAAAAAAAGATATACAGTCATGACTTGATAATCTGACCCTTAATAATCAGAAAACCTTGCTATCTGACAGATTTTTAGGAAAAACGAACAGAACCCATGAAAAACAGCCTTAACATACCGACAGCCTTGGATTCCGACTCCGACATGACATTTTATGTCACAAATAATAACGGTGTATTATCTGACTGAACAATCCGACAGATTGGCTACGTTCAGACTGCAGGACTTAATGCTCAATTCGGATTTTTTTGTGAAATCTGATTTTTTTTGCGAGTTCGTTCACATTTCCAATTAATGCGACTTCTATCTGCTGTGTGAACTTCATACGACCCAAAAGTGTCCCGCATGCGCAGAAGAGGACACGACGACGTCACAGGCAGTGAGCATGCTCAGTGGTAACGGTGGAGCGTATCCGTCACTCCCCCGCCGCCGCCGCTGAACTGTGACCGCTAACTAAACCGGCAGCCAAGTACTGCTTGTGTGTTCCGGCCACTTCCACCCTGGGCGGTGCGCTCCAACGGGGTGGAAGTAGCCGGAACGTGCACAAGCCCAGCAGTCAATTAGGTATGAAATCCAGTGATGTGTAGTGTTCTAACAATAATTAACAACAAATGAGCCTTCAAGCATCAAGCCCTCCTTGTATCTCAGCCTCTGTCGTGACAATCCGACAGCCTTGCTATCCGACATAAAAGAAGGTTTTACATTTAGTGTCGGATTATTGAGTCACAACTGTACATTGCAAATCCACATGCGACATTGCTATCACCTGTAGGGCTCCATAAACAATTGCATAGGTTGTTCATGCAAGCAGTTTATTACTGTCTATAGGTACGTTTAATTGTGACGATGCCCTCAAGTGACTGAGAGGATTATGTGAAGATTTGAGGTGACGTTACAGACGTAAAGTCTGCAAAGTTTACATGAAAGGGTGGATGATCAGTCAACAAAACATTGGACTTTATTATAGGAAATTGCTGTCGGTGGTTCCTGTCAGTATAACTTGACCAAATCAGATCTGTTTCTATGACGTCATGCAGTAAGCATTTTTATTGATGTAACCATGACAACTAAGAACCACGGTTCATTTCCCGTTTCAAGCAGAAAGTCAACATTTGTCCCAACCGTGACCGTTCCACTTTAACCAGGTGGGGTTTAGCTGCCTCGTGTTAGTCAGTGGGGGCTGTCAGTTCTGCCCCAGGAAACCCAAATGGGTTAATCCAGCCCTGTATGTGGCTTCCTGGAAGTCTCATGCTGCACTGTGGACACACAGAGGAAGCATCTGAAGGTGGCAGAAGAAGAAGCTGTGCCTTTCTTTCCACCGCTCATGTTTGTCTTTTCTTTTTTTTTTTATGAATGTGTAGATGGACAGAAGGACATCGAGGAGGAGCTGACGACAGGCCTGGAGCTGGTGGACTCCTGCATCCGATCGCTCCAGGAGTCGGGCATCTTGGACTCGCAGGACACTTCTACAGGAGACAGTAAGATCAATGTTATGATGAAGAGAGTAGTTTTTGAGAAGGAGAATGAGAAAACTTTCTGCTGGTAGTTGTTTTTGCTGAGACAGCCAAGAAGGATGAGCTGGGAGGAGGATAGGTAAAATGCAATCAAAGACCAGCGAGACTGGATGTTCCCTGGGGTCTCCAGGTTTGGGCTGATTAACCTGTTGTATGTGGGCGAATTCACAAAGAAAAATTACGCTGCTAGTAAGACACTAGTTCACGGCTCGGCGCTGGAAGGAGGGCGATCGGTCCTTCCTTTAATAAATAGACAGACAATCGGGTCCTTTTTAATCAAGCCTGCGAGATCACTTTCTTAATTCAAGCACTTGGTCTGATTAGCATATCGGCACCTAAATACCGAACGAGAAGCTGTCCTTCATCAGGTTTCATTACTGCCAAAGTGCCACTGGTCAAAATAGGGAGATTTTAAGCATAAAAAGTCCATGAAATCCATATCGCTTGTATTTGTCGAGGAGCTTTTCTTGGATTTTCTGTTGATGACATTTCATTTCCTGTTGTTTACACATCTTACCTACATGACTTTAACTGTGGCTGATTCTCCCTCTGATGTATACTCCTTTGGATGTTTGTTTAGATAATACACACCAGGCGCTGCCACCTTGCTTGCATATAGTTGTTGTTTTTTTTTGCTGGTGCGATGAGGCAGTCCGACGTCGTCTTGCGCTGCCATTTATAGATGCTACAAATTTTCTATGGATTTTATAGATTTTTCCACAGGATGATACAAGGGTTCAACATGCAGCGGCAGATTTCCACTGCAGGAGCTTGTTGGACGTTTCCAGGAATGTCCTTGTTTAATTTTCTTTCCATTGCAGTGTGTGATCCAACAGCTCAGACCAGTGGTTCTCAAACTTTTTGACCCCCAAGATGACATAAGTTTGTGTTCGTGACCCCCCAGTTTGAATTTTTAATATGTCATGAGTGATAACTTTGCTGTTCATGCATTAATGCGTTAAAAATGAATTTATTTCCACAGATTAATCTCTTTATATTAATGCGTTAATTTTCTTTTGAATGAATAAATGAATTTTATTTCGAACAAATGAAAGGGGAAAAGAATATAAAAACAAAAGAAAATAAAAGAAAAAAAGAGCAAGAAAGAATAATAATGTCGCATAATCAAATCATAATATTAACAAGTACAAAAAAGGAGTGGGAAGAAGTATACACTTTTACTTTTGACAGCCCTGATACACATTTATTTGATAAATGTAGGCTTTTTTTTTTTGACAATAATCTGGCAACCCCCTGAAATTATGTTGGGATCCCCATGGGGGTCCCGACCCCCAGATTGAGAACCACTGGCTTAGACCATGACGCTAACTCCAAGTACACCAAAACAGCGACAAGTAGAAGTTACTGGATGTACTACTAGCACATAGACACACACATAGATAATAAAGAACTGGAGGTTTGTAGCCTAACTGATGAATTTTGTTAGAGAGAAGATGAAAAAAAGTTGTTGTTATCTGAACCAAACAGCATTTTCTTCTTGCGATCAGAACATGCATAAAGTTTCAGGTCGGCCTAAAAGTTCCTGGAAAACCGGCTGATCGCTGAACCTTTTTGAAATTCTTCGCTCAGACGTTAAAGCTGTCCAGAGCTGAGAGGAAGTGCAGAATTGGGTGATAAATCTTTTTTTCACGGGTTCGTCTCTTTTAACATCTTTCACCTGAGATAAAACAATTTGATCAATGCTTTATATCACTGTGTCGATTAGCGCAGCTTTAAAAAGACAGAAATGCTCGGTGGCCCGAAAGGTGGAGGAAGAACAGGTGCTGCATTGTTGGTTTAATTCTAGAGAGCAAAGTGCTTGTTGATAAGAGCGCTCTGGGAGATCCTAAACACCTCCCAGCGCCTCCCCGCTCCACTCTCCTCCCTGCACATCGGGTCCCGGGATGATACCCTCGTTTTTTTTGGTTTTTTTCCCCCACTATACTCGACCCCATGGGAGAGAGGTAGCTGTCAGGAGACATGCCGGGTTGTGCCAGTAGTTTGATATGCTAATCCACCCTTGCTGAGGTGTCAGCTGGCCTGCTGTTCACAGTGCAGAGAGGAAGGCACACACACACAAACTACTGTAAACAGCACAGGCAGGCGCATAAAGCCAGAACGGTGTGCCCATAGACGAGCATATAATCACACATGGAGGCAAAGAGAGAAAAAAAAAGTGCACTGGGCTGCTAACGAACACATGCACACTGTCATGCATGAACTCTCGCAACCAAACACATGCATGCAACGCTGGAAATGTTGTTTGATATTTAGAATGTTTAAATATTTATCAGTTATGTAACCGGCTGACTAGTCCGAAACACAAAAGAAAAAAAAAAGAATGTGGACGCCAGACACAGACGGAAGGAGGAAGAGTGGGTGAAGAAGAAGAGCAGCAAAGACGCAGCCTGTGCAGAATGTAGCTTTTATCAACCCGTTTACTGCCCCCCTATTAAATAGCAGCTGTAACCAGGAACAGCAGACCGGTCAAGCTTTACGTAAAGAATGGATCTTTTCCTAACATGAGGCACAAGCTTTAGTATTTCCTCAGAACTAGCCTACAGCACATGGAGCGGATGGGACCTCTGCTGTCTTTTATGCTGCTGGAGACCTCAGCAAACACTAACAAATCAAAATAACCCCAAATGCGAGCAGCGTTGCTTCAAACACCCTCAGACTGCCTGCCAAGTGAATTGTTTGCTAAAAACACTATTATTTCCCTACAACAGAGAAGTGTAATTTGAACAAACTGTAATAATGTTGAGTGATGGTTCTTTTACTGCACGCTTGGAGGCTTGTTCAATACAGCACTGCATCTATTAAACTGCAGAGCTGCATTATCTTTAACAGCACACTTCGGCTGACGTGAGACATCAACGTTTGCTATTGTCTATTATTTTTTGTACTTTCTTTCTGAGCTGTCAGAAAAGAAAAAAAATAAAAATCAACGTTCCCCAGTCTTAAAGCTTGAGTATGCAATGTACCGTGAAGCATTTGTACTTAAAGTTGTTTGAAGGACAAACTACTTTAGTGTGCTACGAATCTTAAAAGCTTCAACAACACTTTAATTTACTTATAAACGTTGAATATTTTCTGCTATAAATGTCAAAAATGCAAAGTGGAACTAAAAAAAAGTAGAGTCAGCTGCAGGTTTACGGAAATTTCACCCAAAAAAAAAGCAAAACACGACTGGTTCATGAACACAGGAACTGATTCTGAGTAGAACATACGACGCCCCTTTTATTTGTGTTGGGAGCTTTCATCATTTTCCAGCTTTATCTTTCAGTTTGTCGTTACATAAGCAGGATCTCACGGCTGGCAGTGAATCAGTCTAACTTTCCTAAAACATAATTGTGGCAAATCCTGGCCTAGTTTAACAAACTGAAGAAGTGCAGGCCACATCTGATACACACAACTTGCAGTTGAAGTAGAGATAAGAGGTTGTTTCCACTGACTGTATGGAATTAATTGCATTGGCTGGAGAGTGACCTTCAGTCACTATGTAAAGAACGTTTAGGTCACCAAACTGGCTGAGAAGGTCATTGGGTGTCCTCTACCCACGCTGGAGGACCGTCATGGCCTCAGGAGGGCCAACACCATCCTGAAGGACTCTTACTACTTCCTGTTCGAGCTACTGCTGTCGGGCAGACGGTACAGGGCCATCAGAACCAGGACTAACTAAAAAACAGCTTCTTTCCAACTGCTGTCAGAGCCATAGAAGCCTCTTTATCACAATAAGTGTAAATATGCAATTACCACGACACAACTACCCATCTCTGCTGTTTGATGGCCGGAGAAAGAAGCGACTGAGATCCTGGTGCCAAGGAAGAAAAAAAAAAGAGGGATGACGACGGTGGGAAAGACAAGAAGGGATTTTTTTTTTTTGCTTTGCTCGTGCTTATTATTTAATTTCATCTTTATATATTGTTTTTTTTTTTAAATGTAGATTTTTTTAAATATTATGTTGTATATAGTTGTTTACAAAGTTTTTATATTTTTTGCACTGAAAGGCCTGCACCTTACTTTCTTGTTGTACTCAATGCAATTACAGCAAAGTGAATCTGAAACTAGCATACCTTCATTTAACAAGTTTGCATCATGAAGTTGGTACATCAAAAGAAATTTAAAAAAGAAACACACGCAGGGAAGTCTCCTCACGTGTCTTGCTGTTTCCGTAAAAGATACTGTTGTAGAGGGAACTCACAGAGCTACATTTATTTACCTCCTCCTACATTTTATAACACATTTACATTAAATTTTCAAGAACAGAGCAGCTGATTCCATTACATTCCTGTATGGATCATAGGACAAACTGCACCGCAACACACAAAACTGGCATTATTATGTTTTCTGCATGCAAGCTAGCATTTCTCCTGGGATGCATAGCTTAAGTATTTTGTGTCATGTATGTACTTGTCAAGAGAATATTACAGAAGACCCATTAGGGAGTCAGTGGAAGTCATGGAAGTAGTTTAACCTCCCAGCGAGCTACAGGTGACAACATCTACCAGCGATCGACAAAGATGGTGGAAATAGTCGGCTTGCTTTTTCCTGACTCTGAATTCAAGGACCCAGTGTGTCAGAATGACTAAGTAGTCTCCAGTAATAAATTCAGTTGTTTTTTTGTTTTTTTTTAATTTGTAGAAAAGAAAACAAGCAAAAAGGTTGAGCTGGTTAAATGTTTCCATTTGCAACACAAATATATGAACAGCACACAACACACGGAGCCAAATGCCAGCACGGAGAAAAGCATAATAAACATATGCAGTGCAAATGAAGAGATAAATGCACACATCTTCACACACACACACACACACACTCAGCAGCAGCAGCATCCATGCCTCGACTAAAGCTGCCGAGCAGATTAGTGCGACGCAGCAGCAGAGTACAGCGAGCGTCCTCGTGCTTCACGCTGCTTCATGCTGGTGATGCTTTCCGGGGTGCATGTTAATCTGTGTCTATGT